CCTCATTCATTTTTGCTTGGTCTTCTTCGGTCACCAGGCATCAGAGGTAGCTCTTTACTCCCACGGGAGCAGAAAGAACCCGGGATTCCTCCGGGACAGTGATGACTATCGACCTCTTACGGCTGGGATCCACACTCAGGGTGGGGAACTGGTTGATTAACTTTAGGCTCGAGTTCAGCCCGCCAACTTCTGAAGACGAATCCTTTATCGGTACTTCTAGGTCGCCCACACCAAAAATTTCTTCCAAAACGGACGAGTCCACACCGTCGAAAAAGGAATGAAGGGGATCGTCCATTCCATGAGCCCCTTCGTTAGACCTCTCCTTCCCTGATCGGGCCTCCTCGAGCATGGACTCGGTATAGGAAGGCGACCCTGAAATCTTTATTACACCGGGCGCCTCCTTCGGAGCATAGTCGGCATCCCGGGAAGTCTCAGCCCTGGTCTCCTCATCAACCTCCCGGGTCTGAAGGAGATCGACCTCATGGATCTCCTATTCAACATCTGCCTGCTCCTCGGGAGAAGTCGGCCCGTAGGCTACTAAAAAATCATCTTCCTTGGGTAAATCCCCGAGCCGAAGAAGCGAGTCTGCGTCGGATGATCGGGAGATAGAACTTTCCTTTGGCTTATGGGCCAACCTTCTCTTTGTCTTCTTCTTCTCTAAGCTCGGGGAGCCCGTAGCCTTCTTGTTCTTCTTTTCCCCTGATGCAGCCCCGAGCTGCCGCAAAGCAGAAGGGCCAACAAATAAGGACACATCCTCGTCCCCGCCAAAAGGCCTGAGTTCAATGGTCTTAGGCAAACCTACAAAAAGAAAAGTGAAGAAAAGAGAGTAAATACGATGTGAATGGGAGAGCTCGATGTTACCTATTCGGGGAAGGGTCTTACCGTGAGAGCGAGCCTTCCACCGGCGCCTCGAGAGCTTGCGCCATGTGCGCTCAGAAAAAGGCATCTGTGAACAAATGCCCTCGTTCTACTCCTTGAGCCGAGGGATAGCATTTGGGACTCGAGCGATGGCTTCACCACCACAAGTACCAGCGAGAAAAAAGGAGATGAATGTAAACTTGGCGTTCAAAGGGAAACTATACTTATGAGATGCATTCCACTTCTCGGGAAATGGCATAAACTCGGGGGGAATCAAGTCTTTGGTCTTCACCCGAACGAAGCGTCCCTGCCATCCCTGATCCCGATCCTTATCGATACTCGAGAATGGGGCTTTGCTGGCCCGGTGTGTGAGCTTTATTATTCCCCCTTAGAAGATTCAGAAACTGTATAGGTGAAGTAGGTAATCGATGGTGAACCAATGGGACTCGGTATTGTTCACGAAGTAACGAAGGAGGATCACGATATTCCACAGTGACGGGTGGATCTGACTGAGGCATACGATACTCCACAGTGACGGGTAGATCTGACTGAGGCATACTTCATACCTCTTGCACAAGTCCAAGATAACTCGGTCCACCGAGCCCAATGTGAAGGGATAAGTGTAAGCACTTAGATACCCCTACACATGGGTAGTGATGGCATCCTGAGACCCGGGGACTACTACGTCCTTACCTTGCCAGTTGCGGCCCCCACGGACCACGGGAAGGACGTCTTCGGTAATAGAGCATAATACCTTGATACTTCTTCACCCCGGCCTTGCACTGATGAGGGCTTTTCGACCTTAAAGTCATCTGCAACTGAGCACTCCCCGGGGATAAATATTTTCAAGAGAGGCTCAAGAGCTGGTTCATCGGTAGCCGCGCCAGGAGCAGACATCTTGAGGATGACTATATCAGGAGTGACCGCCTCGCTTTCAGCGGTCGACTGGGAAGAAGAAGAAGAAAGAGAAGAAGAAGAAGCGACTTGTTGAGGAATAGATTTGAATGTTTTAGCCATTGTTATCTGAAAAGGCTTGAAAGGTCTAAGAAAAGGTTTTGAAAAATGAAGAGTCAAGTGTGCTAATTTGGGTAAAGACTAGGTAAAAACTCGAAAATTACTGAGAAAGTTTAAAGAACGGAGGTAAAGATATAGAAGTATGAAGAAGGTGAGTAACAGCTTTAAGAATCGAAGGGAGAAGCTTGGTCAAACTGTGAAAAATGAATGACGAATGAACGCTTTTATAGAGGTTTCCTGACGCTTCGCACTCAGAGGTGACATGTCGATGGCTGACGCGTGTTCGAAGTCAGAACGACGCGACTGACGGGACGTTTCGGTTTCTTTATCGTTTCTGTTGCGGCGTATTAAACAAGGAGGTGAAAAGCATTTGTCGTTTCTCATCGTTTCGATAAACCTCATTTCTAAGAAACGAGGGGACTATCTGTATACGGGTAAAATTGGGCCCGTTGAACATCTAAGTTTCCCGGTAAGACAAACGGGACTGGAACGTGATCATAAGGAATCGGAGTCTGGGTAAAAAACCTCTCGCATCGGGGATCGAGCAAAACATCCGCCCTCGGAAGCATCAGGGCCACATCTCCCGGGTCCGGTTCGAATCCCTCAGCTTTAGAGAGCATTACCGAACGGCCGAACACAGCTAACAAAGAGCCGTGACATCCGTGCCCAACCGGATGTCACAGCGTAAATCTCGGCCCGTATCAGGAATGAATCAGTTATTAGCATAAAGAAAGATTTTTATCATTTTTTAGAATTGTACTTAGGGTGAAACTTACCTACTATATAAAGGGAAAACTAAATGTTCATTAGGGACACTATAACACGTATATCAAGGCAATTTATTTCAATTCTCTTTGTTGTTCAAAGTTCCTATTCTTGTTCTTAAGTTCTTAATAAGAATAAGCTTGGAATCGAGGGCAGGTTCTTCATCGAGCCATCAACCAAAATCGGAATCACTCTTATCATTGATTTGGTCATCTATTACGTTTTTCATTTGCTTAATCTAACGTCATTAATCACTCGTATTGAATTAATTTACATATCCTTAAAACTATATATAAATGCAATTGTTATCCTTTGTTTAGGGTAAACATGACTTGAACTCTAATTAAGTAGCCCATGTTGCCTTAAAAGAGGAAGGAACAAGGCTCCTGAAGGATCTAAATCCAGTATCCTGTTTAGCCCTTTCATAAATTCCACATTTTAGACTCGTAATTAGCTAAATTATTTTGAAAATTTAAATGTATAAACACTCTCTTACACATTATAATTTAGTCACTGAACATAGACAGCTATGTCCTTTAGGGACCCGATACCAATTTTTTCAACTTTAACAATTCTAAGGAAAAATAAAAAGGACAATATAGCATAACAAGGCCTATTCTTTTGCCACACATCTTTGTTTCTGTTTTTCCGTATTTACCCTGAAAGACTCTTATCTAAGGAAGCATAACCAATATACTAACAAATGGAGTAGTTAACGTCTCATAGATCCATTTGCGTGAACTCAATGAATAGCTTTGGAAAAAGAAAATGGAAAGCTTCAGAGAAGCCTCTTATAATCTTCCTAACACTAACAAGTAACAGAATTTGATTACCTGTTTGAGCAATGACCACGTGCTTTAGGATATTAGGTCTTCAGATTTACTTGCAAAATAGTTACATGCGGATTATTTTTCCAAGTAAGATGTACGTAATATTTTCACGCTTGATAGCACCAAATTGCGAATTTTATTGAGAGAATTTTATTTGCAAGTAGATATTCTAGAACTCAAGATTTTTTTTGTTTCTGCCTGAAAATCTGTAGAAATTATTTGCGGAAAAAAATTCCCGAGTGCTCATGTAAATCATAGTATCCACTGGGGTCGTTTGGTAGAGTCTATAAGAATAGTGCTGAATAAGGTGTATTAGTAATGCATGGATTAGTAATGCAAGCATTAGTTATGTAGAGATTATTTTTTATTCATTATTTGGTGTAGTGTATTAAAATTGATATCCATTGCATAATTTTTAAGAAAAGTATTTGTTTACAAAAATGTCCTCCATATTCTTTAGCTTTAAGGGACTTTAAGGATAACTTTGCCTTTAGCCATGCTAATGCATGCATTAATAGCCTTGGTATTGCTAATACCATGGTTTTGTTATGTATTAGTTATACATATGATAATACCAAATAGGGTATATAACTAATGCTTGTATTTGTTATACATATGTTGAAAAAGTGTACCAAATAAGGTTTTACTAATACACAAAGCTAATGCATGCATTATTTTCTCTAATGCACTCTACCAAATGACATCTATACTATGTTCTATACTATTCTTGTGTATCTTAGGGCCCGTTTGGACATACAATTTGGTTGAAGATTTTTTCAAAAAAAATTTGCTTTTTTTCAAAATCAGCGTTTGTTCATAAAATTTTCAATTTTCACCTGAACATGCATTTTGAAAATTTTCACTCAAATCACTCACAAAACTTCAAAAACAACCCAAACTGAAATTTATGTCCAAACACATCTCTAAATTTCAAATATCATTTTCAATTGAAAAATTCTTTCACTATTTTTTCGAATTTTACGATTCTTATGTCCAAACGCCTACTTAATGTGAGTATTATTTGAGGGAATTATTTTTCCTAAATTTCTCCAGCCAAACAATTCATATTTGACGTTTGCTTGATAATTTTAAAAAGAGTTTTTAGGGAATTTTTTTAGAAAAATGGTTCGTAAACCAAATACTGCCAAATAAATTTGTTTAACTTTTTGCAACAATTAAAAGAAACTAACTTTGACGCTTTTATCTTGGTATAGGCTTGAAAACATATTTTTCTTTCAAAAATTGAAAAATCAAACTTTTAAATCATAGGCCAAGACTCTTACATCAAAGGAAGTTGAATGCAATATTGGGGTTTGGGGGGGAGGGGGTTGGAGGGGCTTGTCTGCAATTGTAGGTCTGGAATTCGAGCTCTAGATGCGAAGTCATTTTCTCTAATGTTTGATTTCTCGGCGAGAATCTAAATTTAATCAAGCTCCAATGTGTACCAAGTGAAAAGTCCAAAAAAAAAAAAAAAGTTAAATGCAATGTTGGGGGTTTTTTTATTGTGGGGGAGGGGGTTTCTCTGCAGTTGGATTAAGAAAGAGTTCACGAAGCTTTGATAAGACATAGGAGTACAAATTATTGTACCGATAGAATATACAAACTACTGTTACCAAATTACCAATTGAATAAATTGATCAATGGCAGTCTAAAACTAGAATAAATTAAGTTTAGAATACAACAGTCGAATATAATTATTCTGACAAGGAAAAAAAGGTCACATCGAACAGCTATAAAGTGGAGGAGTAGCTGTCAAATTTCCGGCGGATCGAATCGAATCAGCAAAGCAAAGCAGCCGCCGATTATTAGTTGCGGAGAGAAAAAGAAAAGAATAAGACAGTAATCAAAGAATCCAATAGCGTGCTAGCTTGCCAAGGGCCAATTGGCTTTTACAATGGCGGATCGGACCTCATAGCAAATGACGGTTCATGCAATTCCATGGAGTTAAAGTTGGAAAAAAAAACAGTGAAAATAAACCCACTAGGTGAAGTCGCACAACCAAGGATTTCGAGGAAAATTGGATTCTTCCCTGAAATAAAATAATACAAAATGACATTGATTACACCATGTTTTTTTATTTTGAGAAGATAATTTAAAGTATTATAGAATGATATCTAAATATTTTTTATATAAAATAGATTGCTGAAAGGCTCACCGAATCAGAAGTAATGGATAGATAGCCATCCGGGGAACTCCAGGCCGGTGTTGACGACGACGTCGATGTTGAAGAATCGGTGCCAGCTGCAGGACTACTCGAGCTGCTGCTATTAGTGCCGACGGCGTTTATTCCGGCGAATCCTAAGGGATAAGACGGTGATCCGTCGGGCTTGAAAAGCCCGTAATTGCGCTCCGACATCGGACCGGGCTTCAAGTTCTCGTTAAACAAGGCAAATACGTATATATTCAAATTGGTGTTAGGTCTCAACGGAGTTCCCTTCTTTTGACTCACGAGTTTGATGAGATTGCAGTTATATTTCCTCGCATTATCCGGCGTTGCTCCGACCTCGTCACCGTCTCCCTTCGACGGCCAACCTGTCTCTGAGATCTGGACGCACACGTTTTTGTAGCCAATTGACGCTAAAGCAGAGTGTACTGCATCGATCTGAGCGTAAAGCATGTTATCGTAGTGGAGATTCGTCACAGGATCGACATTCCCCGAATTAGGCTGAAAGAGCACGTAATCGAGCGGCACTTGCTTCGGATTTGCCTTGTAGGCAAAATAAGGATAAGCATTAATCTGAAAAGGCGAGCCTGTTTTACAATGGAAGTTCAACACCTGAGTAACACAGTCCACCAAATCCCGGCGAAAAGCTCCGGCGGACGGCGGATAGGAAGTTTCTAGAATTGCAAGGGAATGTGCGGTGCTAACGCTTACTTGTTTGTCAAGGTGAAGACTGACAAGCGCAGCGTAAACGCTTTCCATCGCCGGGAGGAGATTGTTGGAGAGCGAAGTGTCGTTAAACGTGAGGACTTCATTTCCGACGGCGATGCAACTGATTTTGGTCGCCGGTAAATAGGCTTGGACGTTGGTTTTGACCCAAGCCTGAGCTTTGGCAGGATCCTTCATATCGGCGAGGTACTCATTGCCGATGCTAACAATGAACTCGACGTTAGTGTTTGCAAAGGCTTTGAGTACACGTGGATCTGCGTCGTACAGCTTCAGTCTAGTTGCGCCCATGGACTTCACTAACGGGACCACTTTCTCCGGCGGAGGAAGGTTATCGGCTATCTGCCCGTAGTTTACGCCGATTGAAGTCCCCATAACGGGGCTCAAAAACACTAAAATTACAACTACAAGGTATTTGGTTGAAAATTCCATGAATCTCCAAATATTTGCTCAGAGATTCAACTAAAGTTTAAAATGTAGAAGAAGAAATGGATGAGGAAGGAGTGGAGCTTGAAGAGGGAAGTGAAGTGAGTGGAGTAAAGAGTGGGAATTGAGTGGGAACTGACTTCTGGGGAAGTAACGTAACGGCGTTAATGCAAGTTGACGGAGTTAGGTGAGCCATTCATTTCATGAATTAGTAGTGACATTAAACATTAGTCCGTATTCCAGCAGTCGCCTGTCGCATCTGCATGCCCATGCCCTGATTTAAATTTCCTCCCGATGTAGTTTAGTAAGGATCTTAACCCATAGGGGTGGCAAATAGGTAGGTTTGGTCGGCTGTGGGTGGGTCGGGACGGATAATGAAAAAAAAAAATTATTCGATCCAATCATATTAATATGAATAAAAAATGAGTTAACTGACGGATAATATGAATTATATAATTCATGATGTCACGTCCCGACCTTGGGGAGCGTGACCGACGCTCAACCGAGATATTTCGGTCAAGCAAGCCTTTACAATACCTTCTACCCAACTCACCCATAAATAAAGAAAAGAATACATTTCATTAATTAGGCAGAAAGTGGTCATGTGAATAACACTAGTTCATTCCCATTAGTTACGTCATTAACAAGTCTCCAAAACAGTATATTGTACGATCATGGTTAAAGTGGAACAGATGATACGATTACAACATTTTTATTTAACCTTCCCAAAAATAGATACAACCCGCAATATATCTACGGAACCTCTAACAGGAACAAAAGAGTGTTATGACAGTACCGGCAATAAGGCCCGGCAATACCTCAAAGCGCTGTGTAGAAAGGATAAGAAATACAGGACCTCGAAATGACGTGGGGCTCACCAATTCAGCTGAGGAGATGGTGTGCTGCTATCACTGATCAATACTACCTGATATGGAGCCACCTGCATCCAATAAAGATGCAGTGCCCCCGGTAAAAGAGACGTTAGTACTGTTACGCGGCGCCTTCCTGAAGTTCCTTGGAAGGGCGACGTAAGGCTAGGCAACC